AAAGTCCGACCCAAATCGAAATCGTTCATGCTAAAAACGTCAAAGTAGTCGAATAACAGCGCCCGTAGCGTGCCCCGTTGATGCGTGGTCAAGGATGAATTTTTCTGGCACAATTCGGCGATCCAACAGATCGTCGGATGTTTAAGCAGGAATCAACTGCCCCAACCGACCTCTGTTGTCGAGTCCCATCGCGGACTGTAAACGCGGTAGTGACGTGAGCCAAAACCGTACCGGCCGTGACCAAAAAACCTTCCGGACCCCCATTTAAGACTTGCAAAAATGGAGCCTGACCGGCCCAGACGATCATCTCAGCCCCCACAAGAGCTTGGTGGCAGTGTTAGACGGGGACAGTAGCACGGCCGCCGCCGCGTCCATCCCGTGGAATTGCTTCCGGTATCGCAATGGGATGAGCATTTGTGAGCCCGGAGGAATTTCAGCAAGCGCCTGCACCGCAATGCATGGCGAAGGATGACTTAACCGGGACGGCAAAAAAAAAACATCTTCTGACCTGCAGGCAACTTGATACAGCCCTGATCAACAAGAATTTTAACCGGCAACGGAGAAAGTCGGTGCCTAACAAGCAAGGCACCATACTCTTTGGTTCTATTGGGTAAAGTCACGTAGGTGAAAATAAAATAACAAAAAATCACGACGTTTCGGCCACAACACAAGCGGCCTTCATCAGGTGGAGGGACGAGACTGTCTGGAGGACAGCGCTGGAGTGGAAGAAGCCATGCTTAGATCACGACCTTTAAGCTGTGTGAGAAGAAAAGGCCAAGTGCCTTGACAAAGGAATTAGCATATAATTTAGCATTGAAATGGCTCATTGAAATAGCTAAGTTAAAGTATACACATCCGCAGAGGTACCCCTTGACAAAGAAATTAGCATCGAATTTAGCATTGAAATAGCTGAGTGATTAGCTTGTAACTGGTCACAGAAATAGCTATGTTAAAGTTAGAGCAGATACATTCACCGAGGCACCTAGTACTCATCAAACAGGAGAATTTAGCGAAACACAACCACGCTCAGACATCGGACCTGTGTGCAAGCAAACAAGGTGTTCTGACAAAGAAAGTAGCATAAAAATTAGCATTTGATTGGCAGATTTTAGGAAAGAGGTGGTGTACGTGCTGGTGGACTCGCAGTTTGGCTCGGGGGGGGGGGGGGGGGGGGGAAAGGGGGGAGTTTACCTATTGTTGGTGTGAAAAGGGGTAATTTATAAGAGCTGCGAAAGTTTGGGGTACCACTACTTGAAAAATATACTGTACCATTGAAATTAGTTTAATGTTTAGTTCGATTTAGAACATCTTTCCAATGGTTGCTTAATTTGAAACCATCCTCTTGGTTGAAATTGTGTCTGTGTTTGTAGATCTGAATTGCCTCATGGACAAATCTCTGATAAAAGCCCGTGGGTTTGCAAAGAACCTTGGTATCGGAGAAAATTATATCGTGATCCCCCACAGCGTTGTAACAGTGATCAGCCACGGCAGAAGAATTCGTTTTGCCGTGTTTCAAATCTGATTTGTGCTCGCGAATTCGGTCAGAGACATGTCGCTTTGTCTCACCGATGTAGCAATCACCGCAGGTACAACTCAATTTGTAAACCCCGGGGTACTGTAAATCAGGAATGACATCCTTCACGGATGGGATCAGATCACGAATTTTGTGTACTGTATTGAACCGGACCTGGATCTTGTGTTTGTTTAGAATTTTGGAAATCTTTTTAGTAACGCCTGCTATATATGGAAGTGTGATGGTTTTGACCGGAGTATCAAGTGGTTGTTTCTGTATGGAGGGAGAGACAGCTTGGCGGATGGTACGGTCAGGGTAACCATTCCTTTTGAGGGCCAGGTGTACATGTTTTAATTCACTGGTCAGGTGGTGTTGGTCCAAAATGCAATGAGCCCTATGATATAAAGTTTTGATGAGAGAATTCTTTTGGGCTGGGTGGTGGTGGGAATCAGGTTTCAAGTAGGAATCGGTGTGGGTGGGTTTCCTGTAGACAGAATGCCCCAATGAGCCATCAGGTCTCCTCTCAAACAGAACATCTAAGAATGGTAGCTTGCCATCTTTCTCCACTTCCATGGTGAATTTGATGGCGGGATGTCTGGAATTGATGTGGTGTAGGAAAAGGTTCAGAGCTGGGGGGCCATGTGGCCAAATGACGAAAGTGTCATCCACATATCTCTTCCACAGGGAAGGTCTGAGGGTGGTTTGCTCGCACACAGGTCCGATGTCTGAGCGTGGTTGTGTTTCGCTAAATTCTCCTGTTTGATGAGTACTAGGTGCCTCGGTGAATGTATATGCTCTAACTTTAACATAGCTATTTCTGTGTCCAGTTACAAGCTAATCACTCAGCTATTTCAATGCTAAATTCGATGCTAATTTCTTTGTCAATGGGTACCTCTGCGGATGTGTATACTTTAACTTAGCTATTTCAATGAGCCATTTCAATGCTAAATTATATGCTAATTCCTTTGTCAAGGCACTTGGCCTTTTTCTTCTCACACAGCTTAAAGGTCGTAATCTAAGCGTGGCTTCTTCCACTCCAGCGCTAATTCCTTTGTCAAGGGGTACCTCTGCGGATGTGTATACTTTAACTTAGCTATTTCAATGAGCCATTTCAATGCTAAATTATATGCTAATTCCTTTGTCAAGCAGCGCTAATTCCTTTGTCAAGGGGTACCTCTGCGGATGTGTATACTTTAACTTAGCTATTTCAATGAGCCATTTCAATGCTAAATTATATGCTAATTCCTTTGTCAAGGCACGTGGTCTTTTTCTTCTCACACAGCTTAAAGGTCGTGATCTAAGCGTGGCTTCTTCCACTCCAGCGCTGTCCTCCAGACAGTCTCGTCCCTTCACCTGATGAAGGCCGCTTGTGTTGTGGCAGAAACGTCGTGATTTTTTGTTATTTTATTTTCACCTACGTGACTTTACCCAATAGAACCAAAGAGTATGGATCCTAGCAGTCACGAAAGCTTTAAATCTAGAATAGAAGCAAGGCACCATCAAGGATATGGAAATTAAGACCGTCCCCGATGCCGCAACATTCCCAATGGCGATATGTGCATCCACTTGACCGATAATGCCCATACTACCCCCATTAGCAGCAACACATGCATCAAAAGCCGGTCGCACATGCAAAGTGGGAATGGAAAGGAGGTGGAAAATGACGTCGGAGATTATAGTGGCCGACGCTCCGGTATCCACTAATATCCGAACGTCCACCCCCTGTATATAACCCAGCACCGTGGAGGATCCCATCGCAACCGCCACTACACGGCATGCCAATTTCTTCCATCGCATAATCGTACGAGGCGAACCGTCGACGGCATCGTGTGAGTCGCGAACAGGTGGATTACACGCGGCAGAAGATGCATGAGGTGAAAACACATGCCGGGTGTCTGATGTATGCCGACTTGCCTGGCCTGGGTCGTGGTCTGTCCATGGAGGTGGCGCCGAAGATGGAGTCCCGGGAGGAGGTGGAGGACGGGGACGACTCCGACAATCCCGTGCGAGTGGCCAAAGCGGCCACACTTGAAGCACGTCATGCCAGCCCGCCGATTGGCCCCACCGACGTCCCCTGCGCGGTGTCGAAGATCCCCCTCGATGGTGTCTCAGGCCTCTGCCACGGGTCCCAGCGAGGCGCGGCAGCGGCCAGGTCCTCGGATCCTGCGTCGTCCAGAGTGTGGACGACTCGCGACGGTGCCCATCCCATCGGTTCACCATCCACGGCAGGGTCTCCTGTCCAGGCGGCCATCTGCGCCCAGCAGAGCAAGTTGTACTGGGCGTCGAGGCATCTGGCGGCCCACCGGGAAGTCAGCGGCTCATGACCGCACACAGGCAACGAAATGTCGAGTTCCTTTGACAACGCCAACATCTTGCCCAAGATGAGGGGGTCGAGTATGTCGGCCATCGTGAGCGCCAACAGAGCGCCCCGGTAGGCAAGGGGAGACTCATCGGTCCTCCGCCGACGTTACAGAAATTTCCTTTGAGTATCCGACCGTGGCTCATAAATTTCCGCCATTTCGGCAAACGCACCTTTTAATGTCTTCTTCCGCTCAGCGGGGATGGAGCGGAACACTGCTAGCGATATGTCGTCGAGGAGAGTAGGCAAAGCATCCAACACTTCCTCCTCTGTCCACCGCACGGAACGAAATGCGGACTCGAACTGCCAAGTAAAAGCACTCCAATCGCCACCCGCAATAAATTCCTTGATGTGCGGAAGACCAAGGATGCGCGCCGCGCCGCCGTCACCAGCCGACGCATACACCGTCGGCCATGCAATACGCGGCTCTGGCGAAATGGCGGACTCCAACTGCGCATCCACGGCCCCGCCCAAGATGGCGGCTTCGCGCCACGTGGCGGCCACCGTGGTCATAATGGGGGCGGCCCTTCTGAGGCCGCAATGGCGGCCGATTCTTGCACGAGGGGACCCTCCGAGACCCCCCGAAGGGAGCCCTGCACGTCTCCACTCGGCAGCGTTTTCTGCGGCCGTCCCGGCGCCGCGGACGACGTGACCAGCGTCACGAGGTTGAGCAGGACCGCGCGGAGCGAATCGATCTGCTCCGCCACACGCCGCCAGCCATCGTCCACGCCGGGAGATGAAGACGGCTCGGCTCCGACGTCTTTTCCCAGCACCTTGGTGGAGCCAACCGCGGTTGCAGTAACCGGGTCCACGGCCCCCGGGGCCAGCAGGTCCTAGGCGAGCGAGTCGTCATCGTCGTCAGAAGATGGCGCAGGTGGGTTCTTCTTCTTGAGATGCTTGGATATTTTCGTAGTACTTCAAGAATCACTTCTGACACCACTTGTAATAAAACACTTCGACGACAATTGACTGTCTTCTTTATTTATTTATTTCTCGCCGCTGGACAGCTCCGCGTTCTTCCACACTATATCCGTCGCTCCGCATTGCGCGGCGTGAGTTGGTATCCTCCGCGCACGCTCGCTCACTCTCCCGCTCCCGCGCACCACTGGCAAACGGCGTGCAGGGAGACCGTTTCCGGACCGCCACATGGCCGATGGCGTCTTGGAGGCGCGAGACGTGGTCCCGCTTCCAGACTTCCCACACTTACCCCGAGTCCCTTCCGGCTTCCCCTTATAACCCCCTCCCGCGTCACCAAGCCCCGCCTCTAGCCACACCCCCTCACGAACCTTCTAGATGGTACCCCACTAGCGCCCTCGGGCTCCGCCCTTGAACTCTAGCCCAGATACTCCCTGTCACCCGATTGGCTTAGAGGCTGAAGCGGCGAAGCCTATCCCACCATTCGGCGACCGTCAGCGTACGCTCGCATTACAAAGCTATAAGAGGTAACATAATATTTCTTACTTCCAACCGGTCCGAGAGAACACGACTTCAAAGGCCACAGAGCCCCTCTTTGTGAGAGACAAGATAATGTAACACCCCAGCCACAAGGGAAGGGGGGGGGGGGAAGAATGCAACCGGGCAAAAGGAACCCCTCCCTCCTTCCAGATTAATTATTGAAATCAGAACACACACGTACACCAGACGAACAACTTTCCCCACAAGCTAAGAGCAAAATCAAAGGAATTCCGGTCCTTTGTGAGAGGGCGAGCCAAGGGGAGAGAATTTCAGATATAAGCAGAAACACGACACACACAGTTCAGTACTGCAAGCGGCAGGCTCCGGGAATCTGCCCCCGTGACAGGCACATCGATAGGGAGTGGCATCAGCAGAAGCCATGAGTCGCAGAGTTCGTCTTTTGTTTTTCGTTTTGTGTATTGTTTCTTTCACCATTGAGAGCATAACCAGCGCAACCGAGCAAGAGTGTTGGCATCGTTGACCAGCGGACGCGCTGCGAGCGCAATCGTGCCTCGCCAGAGAGCACCGAGCAAAAGTGTCGGCACCGTCGACCTGCGGACGAGCTGCGAGCGCAATCGTGTCTCGCCAGCGAGCACGGAGCAGGAGAGAGAGCGCATAACCAGCGCAACCGAGCAAGTGTTGGCATCGCTGACCTGCGGACGCGCTGCGAGCACAATCGTGCATCACAAGAGTGCCAGCCCTGGCGACCTGCGGACGAGCTGCAAACGCGACCGAGCACCTTCAAAGACAAGCGTCGTGCCGACTCAGCTCATCCAGCAGTGGACAAGGGGCTGCAGCTGACGCCGAGAGAGGGAGAGTCGTGTGTATGACACTCCCACACTCACACACCCACAACGCATCGCCCAGCAAGGGACCAAGGCATAATTGTTACAAGAAACACCCCACCTCAGCATCTGCTTAACGCAAAGAGTTGAGCAAGGAGACAATACACCAACACACACATAACGCACATAATAAAAGTACTCCAAAAGTTATCCTTGTGTTTCGCCCATTGAGTTATGTAGATACGGTCGTTTAAAAGTAATTTAGTCATTCTTTAATTTAGTCATCCTGTTAATTGCACAACTGTACCAATGAATTCATTGATGAAACTAAACATTTAGAAACATCTATGTTACAAATCTACACACTCACAGAGAGACTATTGTGTTGAAACCTTTCTTTTGATCACGGAATCTTGCCTGCAAATTTATTGAAGCCTTAGCCAATTGATAAGAATTTGCTAGACAGACATGCACACTGCCACACACCATTGTTCCAAGACATTTCGTTAATTGCATAATCTTACCAATGAATTAATTGAGGTCTACTTTTGCTTTCGGGACATGTTTCTTTATTGCTGTTTGTATGAATATTGTCACACTCATTTTTAAGGACTTTTTCCTATCGCCGTGTATGCTCGCTTTACTCGGAGGAATTAACCGATTGTTCTGTTACCCAGTTTAACAAACGTAATCATTGAGGGTTAAATGTACTGATCAATGAGGAGGACATCTCGAAGAGTACTGTGTTGACAATTTCTAGCATAAATGTTCGCATATTAGAGTGTTATGTTTTTGTTTAAAAATTAAAGTTGCTTAACACAGAGTCTGAGTGGTGCCTTCCTAAGTTCATGCATACAAATCTTAATTATAAGAACTGTATCTTGTGGAGAGATCTGAATTTTGAGACCTGACATAAAAACAAAGACATAATCAGTAAAAGTTAAAGTGAGAGTCATTGTATTATCTCGATTGATAATACAACGAAGCCGAGCTTAATCAGCATACTTACATCACACTTGCATAACTTCATACAATTCATTGTATTATCCCGATTGATAATACAACCCTAGACAACGAAGAAGAGCCTAATTTTCATAATTGCATACATTAGCATAATTACATACACTTGCATAACTTAATACAATTACACCTTCCTACTTAGCTAAAAGTAATGTGCATAATTACATAAATGTATATAATTTCGGATTACAATTTTTTTTATTTTTCAAGACCCGAAGAATACAACGGGGGGGGGGGTGTGAGGGGAAGGAAGCGGGGCAGAAAGTGGACCCCGCAGCCGCCCCAGGTCACTGGACTAAAGTGGAACACCGCGTCAGCACTGGAGAGATCGGCTGCAGGGGGGGAGAGAGAAGGGGGAGGGGAAGGAGGCGGGGCCGAAAGTGGACCCCGCGGCAGCACCCGGGTCACTGGAGTAGAGATCGGAAAGAGATGCACAGAGAGAGCAAGAAAGACACAGAGAGTCGGGAAATAACAGCTGACATAGGCAGGTAAGATAGAATCATCATAGTCAGTTAAGACTTTACCTGGTTAATAACGTCCTTCCAATGATTGCTTGGTTTGTACCCATCTTCTCGGGAGAAGTTGTGTCTGTGTTTATATATCTGGATGGCTTCATGAACAAATCTCTGATAATAGCCGGGGGATTTGCAGTGTACCTTCGACTTGGAAAAGTCATTTTCTTGTGAGCCCACTGCGTTTAAACAATGATCAGCAACGGCAGAGATATTGTTCCTACCGTGTTTCAGATCTGCCTTGTGTTCGCGAACGCGGTCCGAGACATGTCGTTTCGTTTCCCCAATGTAACTGCTGCCGCAGCCACAACTCGGTTTGTAGACACCCGGGTATTGCATGTCAGGAATCACATCCTTTACAGATGGGATCAAATCACGGATATTGTGCACTGTGTTGAAACGAACCTGGATCTTGTGTTTGTTAAAGTTTTTGGAAATATTTTTGGTATCCCCTGCTATGTATGGCAAAGTGATGGTATTGTTTGGATCCTCTGATGGTTATCTTCCCATGGCTGGGGAGACAGTTTGCGGATTGTACGGTCAAAATATACGTTCATCCTGAGTGCTTGGTGAACGTGCTCCAGCTCACTGGCTAGGTGATGCTGGTTGGAGATACAACGGGCCCTATGGTGTAGTGTTTTGAGGAGGGAATTATTCTGGGCTGGATGGTGGTGGGAGTCAGGCTTTGGATAGGCATTCGTGTAGGTGGCTTTCCTGTAGACAGAGTGTCCCAACAAGCCATCAGGTCTCTTCTCGATCAAAACATCCAGGAATGGTAGCTTGCCATCCTTTTCCACTTCCATGGTGAATTTGATAGATCGGTGTATGGAATTGATGTGGTTGAAAAATTGGTTCAGTGCTGGCAGGCCATGTGGCCAGATGACGAACCGTGTCATCTACGTATCTCTTCCACAAGGAAGGACGTAGGGTGGATGTCTGGATGGCATCTGTCTCAAATTTCTCCATGAAAACATTCGCTACCTCTGCCAATAAGGGAGAACCCATGGGGTACCCTCATTTTGCCTGCAGAGTGTACCATTCCAGGTGAAGTAAGTGTTGGTAAGGCAGTGTCTTACCAAAGTTGGTACATCTGGATTCAGTCCCTGTTGGACCAAGTCTTCAATGATTGCAATGGTATCAGGTACAGGTACCTTGGTGAACAGGGAGACTACATCGAAACTGACAAGTAAATCATCTGGAGACAGTGAGATGTCCTTGATTAGAGAAACCAAGTGAGCTGAGTTAAGTACAGCTGAGGTGGTCTTGCCTGTGAAAGGAAGCAGGGTCTCAGACAGAAATCGGGCCAGTTTATAGGTACGTGAGTTAATGGTGGAGACGATAGGATGGAGCGAGGTACCTTCTTTGTGGATCTTTGGAAGGCCATAAAATCTGGGTGGGTCTAGCAGCTGAAGGTTTTAGAGAGCGCTGCTTGTTCGAATCGATAAGAGAAGTCGAATTAGTGATATTGTTGTTTTTGTAGCTAGGCGGTTGGTGGGATCTCTGTTGATTTGGGTATAGCTGCCATCATTAAGAAGGTCCTGAATTTAGTTTTTGTAAGTGGTTTTATCCATGATGACAGTGGCATTGCCCTTATAGGCTGAGAGGATGACCGTGTTATCTGTTTTATAATTGAGAGAGTTCAAAACGCTCATCCTTGCTGATGTTGCTAATGGGTTTCTAAGCGTTTTTGAGGAAAGCAATTTCAGATATCGCAACGTCTGCCGGGATGTGTCCCAAGCCTTTGAGGACTACGTCGACCTTGGCAATGATATCATCCACTGGGATGTGTTTAGGGGTGATTGGGATGTTACTATGATTGATGACAATCTTGTTAACATCTAACTTTTTAGCGTGTGGCTCTGGCTTCTTTTACGACAGGAGGTTGAATTTAGCAATCAAGTTAACTTTACATTTGGTTGACATTGAAGTAGCTGAAGAAAATGTCATGTTATCTCCATGGTCCCAATCAGATGTGGACATTTAATGTTAATTCTAAGTGTGATTGTAAGAGAATCTTGTCGAAAGTATCAAGTTCAAATCTGAGCAATCTTACACCATTGGTGCATTGTCTTTGAGTTGTGCGCCTTTTGTTGTCATCTTGTCCAACACCATGTGAGACTTGGCTCTAAGGAAAGCTGTCTTGGGTGTGGACCAATCAATTTCAAGGATAGTGCATACATTATCAGAGTTATGGTTTTTGTTTGCATTCCGACCACAGGTATTGTGGTCAATGCAAACATGACTCCTTGTAAAAAAAGGTGTCAGATTTGTTTCCAGATAAAAGGGTAAAAAAAAACAATTATCTGAGCAATCTTATTCTCTCTGAGACTAGAGCTAGGCTGGCCCTAAACAAGATCCGTTTAGAGTTAGGAGAAGTGACAGCAGCAGATGTGAGTGTAAAGGTGATCGGTATTACCTTGGTGTCGCAGGATCTCTTCAGAAAGGTGAGAGACTCGATCAAGTGAGCCTTCTTGTCTCACAGTCTGTTAAAATATCTAATAGTTGCGTGGAAACCCTCCCCGTAGAGGCGGTTCAATCTTGATTTGAAGCTTTTGTGACTGCATGAATCCATACTCTTTGGTTCTTTCGGTAAAGTCACGTAGGTAGAAAAATAATAGATCACGACGTTTCAATCGCAACACAAGCAATCGTCATCAGGTGGGACAACCACAGCAAGAAAAAACTGAAGGAGGCGAGAGATCTGCTGTGGCATGAGGTTATATAGTAGGCCTCGGCAGAGGGGGGAGAGAGAAGGGGGGGGGGAGGAGGCGTGGCAGAAAGTGGACCGCGAAGCAGCACCAGGGTCACTGGAATAACGTGGGCCACTGCGGCAGTACTGGAGAGATCGGATGCGGGGGGAGGGGGGGGGGCAAGGAAGCGGGGCAGAAAGTGGACCCCGTGGCAGCACCTGGGTCACTGGAGTAGAGATTGGAGAGAGATGCACCGAGGGAGAGATAGAAAGACACACAGAGTCAGAAATAACAGCTGACATAGGCAGGTAGGATGGAAACATCACAGTCAGTTAAGACTTGACCTGGCTAATAACGTCCTTCCAATGATTGCTCAGTTCACCCCCCCCCATTCTTCTCTCTCCCCCCCTGCAGCCAATCTTTCCAGTGCTGCCGCGATGGTCCACTTTACTCCAATGGCCTAAGTGTTGCTGCGGGGTCCACTTTCTGCACTGCTTCCTCCCCCAGTCGGCCAGCTGCCCAGTCAGACTCCCAGCCGCTCGAGCGTCCGAGAGACGCTGGTGGGTGCAGCTACAACTCGACCCAGGCAGACACCTCCCGGACCCTCGTCCCTCCCACTCCCATCGCGTCCGTGAGATACCGTGAGTACGTCCAAGGGGCAAGAAATTGCGTAAGGATTTGTATAGAAATAGGTGGGACGCTACTTACTGGGTATTTTGCTCCGGGACACGCAGGGCTTTTCTTCAGGCGAGCCAGTAATAAACTTTAGCACAGCGCAACGACGCCGTGATTTCTGTGTGTGTGGGGAGAGCGTAGGGGTGGCGTGAGTGCGTGCGTACGTGTGAAGAGCGCGGGTGTTCAATCATACGACGATCGCTGACGTTCACGTGCGCGCGATCGCGTGCGGGTTTACTCAGTGCATTTTACGCAGTGTGTTCGCGTAGCGACGATCGCATTAGGGATGTCGGCGTGGTGTGTAATTCGAGCGTGCGTGCGAGTGAGGCTGCACTGCGTAGTAACTCATTACCTGCGCCCACGTTCGCGCAGCAGCCGCGCTATTTTTAGCGCGAGCCGTGGCAAGCAACCTGAGCAGGCACGCGCAAGCACCCAGCCACCTCCGGACATTTGGGGTAGTGTACGTAAGGAGTGAGTGGGATAACCCGAGGCGGTGGGGAGCCAGCCACTAGCCATGCCCCACAGAGAGGACGCTGGTGCGAGGAGGCCAATCACCCGATCGGCGGTCGCCCGGCGAGACGGGGCGGAGGAGGAGGTGGGAGAGGAGGAGGGGGGCATCAGCCCCCACATAATGGAGGAGGTGGGCGTGCGCCCCCACAAAAATCATTTTTATTACATGTTGTCACAAATCAGAAATATAACTAATCGGGCAATGCAACATATATTGTGCAACACTTGCACACGACTCGGGACAGAGAGACGGGCAACCGCCCTTACCGACCTCACCTCGTCCTCCTCACCCCTCACCTCGTCCTCCTCACCCACCCCTCACCTCGTCCTCTTCACCCACCCCTCACCTCGTCCTCCTCACCCACCCCTCACCTCGTCCTCCTCACCCCTCACCTCGTCCTCCTCACCTCGCTCCTGACACGGCCACGCACACGCCCATGGCAACCTCACCAGGGCACGACACGCCGACTGAGCAATACCCTAATTTATACTTCCACTTTAACGGCCTCTTCTATCGTGACGGCCAAGACGCTGAATGTGTGTGAGAAAGAGCTTCGTAGCTCATCGGATTCCTCCAGTGTACAAATAAAAACTGTATTCCTGTTTTGATCGCTTTACGGCGCCAGTGGCGTTCAACTCGCGTCCCCATTGCACGACTACGACTCCCTCTGTTGGATGCTCTGTGTCATCAACATTGTTGTGTGTGATTACAATCAACACAACGTTGTTGTGTTGTTGTATTGAGTGTGAGGTATGAACTTTTTTTGTGCCCAACAGGCCGCATATTACCTTGAGTAATTTTGAAGACAATTTTTTTTTACCTTGGTCTGTGAGGAGGCGTTCCGGGGCTCCTTTACCCAGAATGTACCCGTGTAAGAAAGCATGGTAATCGTAGCAGCCGACTGGTCCGGCACGGGCCAAGCCATCGGCAACCAAGAAAGGCACTCGATGACCCGGGATACACGGATTGATTTCAATGGAGGGCAGGCCGCTTTCGGCGGCGGTTTCCGGTGAGCACATTCCGTGCATCCCTTCAACACATCTTGTACGTCTGCTGCCATACCCGGATCAAAAAAAAGCGTGGCAAACGCAGCCTCCTCCTCCTCCCCCCACACACGAGGCTATTGAAGATCCAAACCCGATGATGTGACCCGACCCACCGAGTGTTACCCACAATGACCTCTTTACTGTAGCACGCTGTCCTTTTATCCCCAAGCGGGGCCTTCCCCCCGCCCTCTGGCTACGCCCTCCTTCTGGTACTCCGCAGCAGGCTCGCTCCCTTAATTACCCGAATGACGGGATATACCGGCATTACACTTCCATGAGTCAATGTTACACTCCCCATGCCGAGCGAGCTTCATACCAAGTGACTTGGTATGAATGGAGCCCTCCTGGACCCTGGGCCCTCCTGGATGCTCCTGGACCCTCCTGGACACTTGACCTTCACTGGCAGTGTCGTCACTAGTGTTGGTGTCACCCAGTGCGGTAACTCATGGCGTCACCCCTCATGAACCTCCGCCCGTCCTAGAATCTTTAGTATTGTTTTTGTACTGTTGCTCGTAAATCGTAATTCCCGTATAACACTGAATGTAATGGCAATAGTAGTGACATAAACAACTAGCTAAATAAAAAATTATACCTTTAAATTACAATATTTCCTTTAATTACTACTTAAGTCTCAAAAAAGTTATTGATATAGGTTCACAAATACTAATTATCACAATATTGTAGCTAAAACACCAGAAAATTTTACAAAATCAGCGACTATAAAAACAGCAGCGACGAAAACAGCACGTGATTGTAGCGCGTGCAGACGAAACCACGTGATTCGAAGCGTCATTGTAATTGGGTAATGATAGCTGACCGGAGTGCATTAGAAGGTTCAAAAAGTAAATTAGCATAGAGTTTTAGCCTTGTAGGTATATTGTACATGTAAGCTGGGCTTACGAAAAAAGTTTTTTGTTGTGAAAACTAACTACAGGGATATTTTATGAAAAATAATACATTTCTGCTGAAACACTGCACAAAAGTTGTATAGCCATTTTGGTGTCACCCCTCTCATGGTGTCACCTGGTGCGGTCTGCACCCCCCACACCCCCCTAGTGACGCCACTGCTTCCTGGAGCTTCCTCGACCCTGGACCCTCTTAGACCTTACTGGTCCCGAGAGCCTCCTTCCCTCCTTGATGCTCCTGGACCCTGATGGATCCTGGACCCTGTTAGACCCTGGAGCCTCTTGGACCCTGAACCCTGGACATTCCTGGACCCTCCTGGATGCTTCCTGGACCCTGGACCCTCCTGGATCCTGTACCCTCCTGAACTCCGGACCCGCCACTTAACCCCCAGGGGTCTGCGTACCCTCCGTTGTGAGCCACTGCTTAGTCGAGAGCTCGCTCTCATGGAGACCCTTCCATCAGGAGTAGGGAATTCGCAAGAAGAAAAGTGAAGACATTTTATTGGTGCACCTTTACATTTCTGTTATAGACTTACCATACACACCGATGGCATTGTACAGTGTAATAATTGGGACTTTATACGGGATCTACATATAATAGGGTATAGCAGTGGAACAGGCGGTTTGCATACTGCACTGTGGACTTCAGTTGAATACCTGGCCACGATCAACATGAGTAGCGGAGTGGTATCTGAACCAGTACTGGCCTCTACCCCTTCTACAACACGCACCAACCTGCATGGTGAGTGCACGTTAGTGGTTTTATTGTACTATACAATAAAATGCAAACTGCTTGTGACCGAATGACATTGGATGGTCTTCATCTTGCGGTGGACTTCCACAAAGTTGTAAGTTATTTATGAATCGTTATGTTTCGTCTGTAGAAGGAGAGGTTAAAAGGATCGTTTGTAATGTATACAATGATAGAATTTGTCGTCTACATGAGTTGGCACGCAATACATCGGCCACAAAGTGTCCATGTAATGCTAGTCATGATCCAAAGAATATATTTGGAAACACCTCCAGACAAAAATATTGTACGTACACAAAGGATAACATCTTCTGTGGGAATTTTATTTATTTAAACGCAAACTCATTGTGAATATGATTTTAATTTTGGATTTTTTTTTAAGTGTAGTTTTAAAAGTTTTTCACACATATATTTGATGGAAAATATTCTGTCTCTGAAACAGTGATGTACAGTACAATATTGTGGTGTACAGTATTGTGGTGTACAGTGATGTACATTATTGTAGTTTCCAAATTGCCTATTTTCAGTCAGAAGGTGAACAAGTATGGTGGTGGGTGCTCTCATTCCACTACACTGTTACACTGTATATATACAGTTTCTCATAAAATTACTTTGAATTACAATCGTAACAGAACATCTAAGAACTGCGTGTAATGATAATTTTTATTTATTTAACATTAAATGCAACAAAATGGATTGAATTTCACTTGATATCATTGGTACTGATTTACTTTTCATGACAAACTTTGGGATCTAGGAACTCCAAAGGTTTGGGAAAGATGTCGGTAAATTTCTCTTTCAAAAGCATAACTGAACTCTTTACGAATCAGAAGATTTGAAATATCTGGACCATCACGTTTTATAAGACATTGTATATAAGCGATGGCCCTGAACTAAGGCAGTGGTTCTTAACCTGGGGTGGATGCACCCCCTGGAGGTGCAAGATGCCCTTTCTGGGGGTGCGAGACATGACCAGATTTTTTTAAGCACGGGCACGTAAGTACAACTACTTTGTCTCATCAGACCTATGTATTTATGAACATGTTTTTTTAACCATTGAGAACCAAAGGGGTGCATGGCTGCAGTAATGGTTAAGAACCACTGAACTAAGGAAAAATCATTTGAACACAGATGCTTTGTCGACCTGAGTGAACACGTTTTTGCTGTCCTCCATTCTGACAGTGTACTCCTCACCGATGACCTCAACGTCAGGTGAGTGCACGGCTGAATGCTCCATAGTGAGGCTGTCTTCGTCGAAGTGGCGCTGGAACTGGACGGCGTGGAGGCATCGTCTTCGGCACAGCACCAGTGTGAGCACCAGCAGGAAGAACAGTAGTAAGCCCAGAAGTGCAGCCGCAGCGTTGGGGAAATGGGAGTATTCCCTGTCCGTGAAAACTGTCTGGCACTGGGAGCTTGCAGGATACAGGCACTTCCTTATCTGCGCACAAGTAAAAAAACAAACTTGGTTCCTTCTATGCAGGCTGTGGTTACGAGGTCTAATATTCCAATGCTCAGACAAATAACTTAGCATTGTGACAATCTGAAACACCTACAAACTTTTACAATTATAAATTGTCGACCATAAGTTTGTACATTAATTTTATATTTGTGCCATTTCTTATGAATGTGCTATGTTTCACAGATGGAAATAGTCTGCCAGTAACGAGTGATGTTACTATGTGTAACACGTAGGCTTTCACTACTAATATGATCCATAATAGAGGTTTGTTTGGGTTAGATCGCGTGAATATAAATACAGGTAGTCCTCTACTTATGACGGAGATGCGTTACGACGACCCCATCGTAAGTCAAAAATATCGTAAGTCTAAGATGGCCTAGCCTACCCAGGAGTCTTAAAGAATGCTGATAATTGAGCAAAACAGAGCAATTTACAGTGCCGTACTGTATAAACTATATACTGTATGTATTTATTAATTACAATACTGTATTGCACAGTAAAATGTAAAGTAAAACAAACAACCAATATGAACTGTAATTTAATAGAGTCTTTTCAGGAAACAATCCTATCTGCTATAAAAAAAACTTAACATGCATTGAACGTATCGTATCGTGGTAACCCTAAAATTAAATCGCTAAAACTATGTATCATACATGCATTGAACGTATCATAACATATCATTGCACTGTACTCACCAAGATTCTGTCCGTCGTATCGCTATCGCCATCATAAGATCGAATATCGTAAGTCAGACCATCGTAACTCGGGGGACTATCTGTATAGACCGAAACAGGAGGAGGATTTGTCCACAACTCCGGCTGTTGCCTGATGAAGCTGGTTGTTGTAATTACCGGTGAAACAAAATGGTACTCAAATTGTAAATGTTGTGGGTTTACTCTCCAACACACAAACGGTGTAAGCTGAACTATTAACTAATCAGCACGTTTTGTTTAGGTGACAAACCTTACTAATTGGCTGTGTGGGATGAGGGCAGATTTAACGACACATTTATATTTATATTCCTGGCCACCAAGATTATACGGCTTACCAAAAATACATAAAGAAGATACACCCCTTCGTCCCATCGTCTCTACTATCAACTCCCCCACCTACAAACTGGCTCGTTTTCTGTCTGAAATCCTGCGGCCTTTCACTGGAAAAAAACACCTCTGCGGTACAAAATTCTACTCACCTGGTATCGACAATCAAGGGTATTTCCCTGTCCCCATATGACCTGCTTGTCAGTTTTGATGTAGTTTCCTTATTCACCAAAGCTCCTGTACCTGACACCATCGCAATCATTGAAGACTTGGTTCATCAAGGACTAAACACTGAGGTACCCCCCCTGGTAAGACACTGCTTAACCAATACATACTTCACTTGGAATGGAACTTTCTACAAACAGAGGGCACCCCAATGGGCTCCCCCCTATCTCCGGTAGCCAACATTTTCATGGAGAAATTTGAGACTGACGTCATCCAGATTGCCACTCTGCGCCCAACCTTATGGAAGAGGTACGTGGATGACACTTTTGTTATCTGGCCACATGGCCGGCCTGCTCTAGACCAATTCTTCGACCACATCAATTCCATACACCCAGCCATAATATTTACCATGGAAGTCGAAAAAGATGGCAAGCTACCTTTTTTTAGATGTCCTAATAAAAAAGAGACCTGATGGTTCAATGAGCCACTCTGTCGACAGGAAAACTACCCATACGGATGCTTACCTGAAACCGGATTCCCACCACCATCCATCCCAGAAGAATTCCCTCATCAAGACTCTGCACCATAGAGCCCAATGCATAGCCGACCAGGAACATATAGCCAGTGAAGTCACGCACATACACCAAGCTCTTAAGGCTAATGGTTATTCCGACTACACAATCCGCAAAGCTATCACTCCAACCATGAAGAAGGACCCTCTTGAGGAGCCTTTTAAAACCATCACTTTACCCTACATTGCGGGGATCACAAAAAAGATCTCCAAAATCTTGAATAAACACAAGATCCAGGTCCGATTCAACACATTACATAAAATACGTGATCTGGTTCTGTCTGTAAAAGATGTGATTCCAGACATACAGTACCCTGGCGTCTAAAAACTAAGTTGCCTCTGTGGTAGTAGTTACATTGGAGAAACCAAACGACATGTCTCGGACCGCATTCGTGAAAACAAAGTAGACCTGAAACACGGTAGGACCAACACCTCGGCTGTGGCAGATCACTGTTATAATTCAGTAGGTTCACATGACATTGACTTCTCCAAGACGGAGGTTCTCTGCAACCCATCCGGCTACCATGAGAGATTCGTTCATGAGGCTATCCACATATACAAACACAGAGACAAATTCAGCCGAGAAGATGGATTCTGGCTTAGCAATCATTGGAAGGATTTGATAAACCATTTAGGGTCTTAATTGATTGATCATGCTTAAGGTGGCTTTCAGACCGCATCCATTATTTTTCGTCTCCCCCCTCCTCTTTTCCGAACATAGATGGACTCGTCCATCTGAACAAACTGTCAAATCTCTCTCCGTGGTGCTAACATTAAAAATAACCGCCACTTTTTTCAAATTTTCTTGTTGTGGTTTTCACACCTGATGATGATTGCTTGTGTTGCAGTCGAAACGTTGTGAGAATTTTATTGTTTTATATTTGTATTATTTTATTGTTTCCTTCTATGTGACATTACCGAAAGAACCAAGAATTTGAATCCCTGCAGTCACGAAAGCTTTAAATCAACATTTATATTTACGCGATTTAACCCAAAAAAACCCCTCAAATGGATTACTTTGGGTAATATGAGTATACACAGGAATATGTTTTAAAGAAAAACATCACTGTTCATCCATTAAGCCCCAGACCAACAGAAGGTACATTTGCACGAACAATCTATTGGCTTTTCAATCAGTGCCGGTTTGCATGCCATTTTTAAAATGACTTAAAAAAATATATAATCCAACAAAATACGAGAACCACTCTGCCACTTCCAATTTTACATCTATTATGTAGTAAAAGTAAGCCACACTTTAAGTACATTTATAATCAATTATAATGTATTGTGACTGAAAAAATAACCAACTACAATATCTATAAAGTGCTGTCATATGCACCAATATCTCAATTCTTCAGGACCTATCTCCATCCTACCCAACATCTCCTGCATACGCCAGCTGCAGCCAAGACCATCATCAATGCATTTATCACATCCCGAACCTGTCTACTGCAACTCTCTCCTCTAGGGCCTCACCATATCTCTCGTCTACAAACTCCAGATAATACAAAATTCCATCTGCATAAATAAATCTCCAATCCCTCCACTGCTTCCAAATCCATACTCAGGTCAACTTTAGTGTCACATTCACCATCTTCTAGATTCACCATGGGCTCACCCCTGCCTACTTCTCCCGTCTCATCTATATTTTCCTCCATACTGCGCTCCAGAAACCAAGACTCTCTGAAGCCCCCCACTCAACATTCGCTCCATCGGAAGGTTAAAGTTGAGCACACAAATTAAAATATCACTCCGTGTATTAATGCTGCCTTTTAACAGATAAATAAATCATCGGATGTTTTGAGATATATTTTACACTGACTGAAATGTAAACCTATGACGTAAAAAAGTCAGTGATTTCCTGCTCAAATGACCCATTCTTTACAGCCCTAAGCCAGTTTTAGAAATTTCACATTCCTATGGAGGGGGCGAGTCTATGCATGGGAAAGCCACTGTTGACTTGCCACAACGTGGTAATCGACTCCAGAGGGATGATGGGCTGCGTAAACTGCCAACCAGGAGTTTAACTAGCTTGTTTCCAATTGCAAGCTGCTCTGACCACTACTCACATCTGTTACACTGTACGATACAAACTGTTTGCAATACTCAAAACAGGTACCTGGTCACTGAATGGGATGATGCATAAGGTGTACATTGTCGCTGGGATTAGATTGGAGACTTCAAGGTGGGTGAGCCCTCTTTGCACCTCCATATTGGTGTGTTTTTCTCCCTCGGTAACATAAACCTAGACATAAATAATTAACAAAAATCACTCGTTGCATGAGACAGAATTATTTGCAGTAGGTACAGTGAGATTGTGCAATTCATTGAATTAAATACAGCAGATTCCTAACAGAGGAATATAAATGGAGCAAATTCAAAACATTGAAAAGTCCATAAAGAAATATCAACATATAAAATGTATATTTTTACTTTGTTACCAATTGTTGCTCAAAGCCACCATCCTTCTATCCCGACTCCGTAGACCAGAAAAGGATACACGGCAAATGAGGAGTTGGAATAAATCAAGACCAGCACTCCCCACGCATTTGCATGGGATATAACTTAATTGGTGTCACCCTCTCACTTGTAATGCATCTCAAGCAACATCAAAACGAACATTCTGGACTTCGAGAAAGTATTGTAAATGTGATACTGAGAATGAGGAAGAGATGTGGTTAACTCCTGCAAACTTCTGTTAAAATGGACCTATACATGTAGGCAGCAAATGGTGTTTGTGGCAGGATCCGAATGAGGAAATAGTATGAAAAAAATTCATACTTTTGGCACATTCTCCGTTACTGCAACTAAATGCATTGCACGTCATGTGAAATCTAACAAAATGCGGAAATCTGTAATAAAATATGCTGCACGTTTGCTAATGACACTCGCCATCATACTTTTAAGCATTGCATCTGATTTGAGAATGTATGTGCAAGGCGCATTCCAATGATGTTATTACGTGATAGTAGCAGGCTTGCACTTTAAGGAAAGTACAGATGTCAAAAATGCTTGAAATTACGAAACCAATAATTGTCTGGTTATGTCCTCAGTAAGATAAACATTTTTGTTATGATTCATTTTTTCTCTGACGTACCGTTTGGGAGATACATACACTCTTGAAATGTCGAGATAAATGTTTCCAGTGAGTAGAAATGTAATAGTGAAAATATTGTGACTCAGATGTACAATACAAAGTGCTTGAGATTAGACGCAGCAGAAGCACACATGCAGCAGCAGCAGCAGCGGGCATGCACAGCAACGTTTGTATCGGTAGAACACGCAGCAGCAGCTGGACCACATTTATGTCATCAATATATAACAAGACACAAATGTATAATGGCACACCGGATTTAAACGCAAGGTTGAACACAATCGTCCACTGTCCATGCCTGGAATGCTGCCCAAGGGTCTGGTGACAGTGACTCCCACTCCAGTTTCACCGATCTTGGATACACGTCCACCCTAACGTGCTGGATCTCAGAGGATCTGCATGGCTCCAGAGTCTCCACAGCTTCTGTCCTGAATAATGCAAATATATATGTAAATCACGCGATAATTCAAGCTTGCGAGTTATCAGTTTCCAATGTCTCATTAATTTCATCGTGATACAAAAATAGACAATCACTAGATGTTTCCCTAATAATGGATTTAAAGTATGCTCGTGATATAGAATGTGGGTAGTTATTCGTTCCAGTCGACAATGACCACCCGTTCATGCGCTCTCTCACACTCAGGGGTGTAGAAGTCCAGACGTCGTTATTTGGGGTTTGTTTTTGGTCCTAATGCGAATTCTCATGAGACCGTGTAGTCAGATTTTGGACCCGCAGACACAAGAACATTCTGGGTATTTCAGACGAGCACGTGCACAGCTGCTGAGATTAGCGTTTTTTGCGATAGAATATGATATACTATACATGTGGTGGTGAGATTAAACTGTATATAGCACAATTACCACCATGACATATTTTTAAACTCATTTGAGGTGCTCTCTGTAGCAAAACAAAACATTCACCAAGTTTAATAAGTCAACTCGCGGTTTTAAACACAGTTTGAGCAGCTGGTAAATGTAACCCGTTTTTGAGAGTTGTTGGCCACAAACCTGTGCCTCTTGCAAATGTTCATCGGTGTCTGTTCAGATATCTACTGGAAATCTGTGAAACTACTAGACATCTGTGAAAAAGAGTTTTATAGCTCATCGGATTCCTCACCATGAATAAATATTATTCTGTGTAGTGTGTTACTTTGTGTGATTACATCTTTGAGTGTGTAAAATATACGTATAAACATATCAGGGGTTGTTTCACGATAAAAAAAAACAAGTTTAAAGTTTGTATTTAAAGGGGTGAGAACTCAAGAAATCAGATTTGAGCCTCATCTTCAAGAATTACCCAGGTCGACCAAAAATGCACTAACATAAAAACAATGGAATGGTGCAGGCCAAAGGGCTTATGGGTCAAAATGGTATTTTCACGTGGATAAACACTCTTCTTGCCTGGTGATACTGGTAGGAACCTCCTGGTTACACCAGGCCACAGGGGATTATTGTGTCCGTCCGTCCGTCGTGCATCCAAAAATGGGAGGGGTGGAGCTGGGTGGAGAGGGGAGGGTGGGGAGGGGCTGGGTGGGGAGGGGATGGTGGGGTGGGGCTGGGTGGGGAGGGTGGGGCTAGGTGGGGAGGGAGGGTGGGGAGGGGCTGGATGGGGAGGATGGGGAGGGGCTCGGTGGGGAAGGTGGGGAGGGGCTGGGTGGGGAGGGTGGGAGGGGCTGTGTGGGGAGGGGCTGGTCACCCCGTGGTGCCCTTATAAAACTCAACATTTAACCTACTCACGCCGGCTTGTGCCCGCCCTCACAGTCGGGCATATTTGCGTAATACACCACGCCACCGTTGACCCTGGCCACTGACCGAGCAACCCAACGTTCCTACCAGCTCCCTCCGCAGGAATGTGTGTTTTTATACTGCACAGTCCGCCACGGCAACAGAGTAAATGGTGTACAATGCATGCAGCATGCAATTTTAAAATAACGCAAGGGTGCCTCCAACAACATTTCTTTCAGCCGTTTAACGATACAAACCGCATGCATTTGTTTTGTGATGATGAATGGAGGGAAATCGCATACACCGCGGAAGCGTGCACATCGGTCGTATGGGCAGGAAGGGTAGGAAGGGTAAGTCTCCAAAGTCTCTGAGAGGTGGTGTGGTTGATCGATTTCCAGCCTTGAGTTCGTGATGTCACTGTAGCGCGTGGGCCTCCTGTAGTTTGGTGGAGTGTTGAGGCTTCATTGAAATGGGATATTTCTGTAGCTGCAGTTTCGTTCTCAAATGCAGGGCAGGTGAGAATCTGCAGCTGCAAATATCACAAGAACAAATATGTCAACTGATAGCTTACTAAATAGGATATGCAAATTCGTCATTTAGTGTCTTATTTTAATTCTCCATAGATAAAGTATAGCAGAGCAGTGATGCTTGCACTTGACACTTAGACGAGGAAAAACGGCTCATATCACTGCCACTTGGTGTCACTGACCAGTATGGCCAAGTATGGTCAAATAACTCCAAAAACCCACTTCGTGTGCGGAGGCGCTCAATGAACAGTGAGCTGACAATGAGCGGTGCATTTATTTTTAGTGGTCACAGACACGCTCCGACTTCGAACATTAGAACACCACCCAGTGCCCAACACTCGAGGAACTTAGCGATTGCATTACATTGTGCATTTAATATAAATGTAATCAACTAGGTATTTGAAGTTTGTAAATGAAACACATGTGAATACAAAGACAACTAGTGCAAATATAGTACAACAGCAAGAGGCACCAGAAAAGTTTGGTACTAATGTAGCCAACCGTGCTAATCGCACCTCCGATTAGCACGGTTGACTAGGTATGGTGCGAAACAAGCTCAACATACATACACACTTATGTACAAGCTCCAGACTTTAGTCTAACAGTGACATGAACGCGCTCAAATCGAAAAAAAAACTCCAGTGCAAACACGTGGGACCAAGAGGCGAAAGAGTAATGTGAGATACAAGTAAACGTACTGAGGGGTAAGGAACCAAGATGTAGATGAGTGTGGCAAGGATATTCAAAAAACAGGAGCAGAAAACACGGAAAAACTTTTTACCAAACAATGTTTTAGCAAAGTCACGAGTAATTGCGTCAACAAACGCGGGAATAGTGAGGAGAGGGCACAGGTTATGACGTCACGCCACATTGCTGAGGTGTAAGGGGAAGAAGTGAGGACGTCAGGAGAGGCGGGATTGGTGAGGACAAGCGGTTGATGATATCACGCGGGATTTGGGCGAGACGGGAAGAGGGGTTGATGACGTCACGAGACGCTAGGGAGGTGACGAGAGTAATGACGTCTGCTTTTTCCGATTATTGGATAATATAATTAGCTTGTGTGCTAGTCACTGGATAAGCAGACACAATCAGAATCTGTATTGAGACTGAAGGACTCCGATGAGCAATGAAGCTCTTTTTCACAGACGTCCGGTAGGGATGGCTCAGCAAGTTACAACACAAAATAACTCGATAGGAGTGCAAAAATAGCGAGAAATGCAAGTCACTCGATATAAATAATCAATCCCATTGCATAAATCTGAAATGCGAGCTCGGGCAAGGCAGCAAAAAACAACAAAAACAATCCCAGACCACAACGCGAGTATGTGTCAGCGCAGGTGACGAGGCTCGGGGTGCTGAGGTGGATGTGACGTCACACGACACTAGGGAGGAGAGGGAGAGGTGTGATGACGTCATGCGAGATTGGGGTGAGGCGGGGAGAAGGGGGTGATGGCGTCACACGATACTGGGGAGGAGAGATGTGATGACGTCACGCGAGATTTGGGGTGAGAAGGCGTGATGACGTCACATGACACTAGGGAGGAGAGAAAGAGGTGTGATAACCATTGGAGTGAGTCGGTGAGAAGGGGGGGGGGGTGATGACGTCGCGCGACACAGAACTTTTATATTAAACTAGCGGGAAGTACCCGGCGTTGCCCGAGGGAAAAATATATTTTAAAACTTCTATTAAAAACCTTACATATACATACACAGATACTAAGATATTGTGAAAGTCCGGTGGGCCGTTTGTCCATTTCACCACCAACAAAATTATAAAAGGCTTGCAAAAGTCCAAAAAGTAATATAAAGTGTGGGGTAAATAGTTTATCTAAAAGGTTTCCAAAAATTGTGGACACCCCCACCCCCCCTCAAAAAATATATGTACCCCCGCGTAGGTATCTATACCTACACACCCTACATACAACAGAGTAAGTAGTATCTCGTGAATCTGTAGTTGTATCTACTGACTGTACAGTAGTATCTACTGAGCCAGTAGTAGCTACTGACTGTGTAGTAGTATTTGCTGATTGTAGCAGTAACTACTGACCGTAGTGGTATTAATTGGGCCTACAGTAATATCTACCGACTCTATAGTAGTAACGACAAACTGTATAGTAGTATCTGCTGACTCTATAGTAGTATCCACTGACTATAGTAGTAACTACTAACTCTATAGCAGTATCTACTCACTCTATAGTAGTAGCTACTGACCGTAGTAGTATCTACTGACTGTGTAGTCGTATTTGCTGACTGTAGCAGTATTTACTGACCGTAGTGGTATATACTGACTGTTTTAGTATCTACTAACTCTATATAGCATGATCTACCAACTGAATAGCAGTATCTACTATGACTACAGCAGTGCATACTGACTGTGGTGGGACCTGCTATGATTACAGCAGTGCATATTGTGGTGGTACCTGCTATGATTACAGCAGTTCATACCGACTGTGGTGGTACCTATGATTACAGCAGTGCATACTGACTGTGGTGGTACCTGCTATGACTACAGCAGTGCACACTGACTGTGGTGGGAACTGCTTTAACTATAGCAGTGCATACCGACTGTGATGGTTCCTGATATAACTACAGCAGTGCATATTGACTGTGGTGGATCCTGCTATGATTACAGCAGTGCATACTGACTCTGGTGGTACCTGCTATGATTACAGTAGTGCATACTTCTGTGGTGGTACCTGCTATGATTACAGCAGTGCATACTGACTGTGGTGGTACATGCTTTCACGACACCAGTGCATAAAGGCTCTGGTGGTTCCTGCTTTCACGACAGCAGTGCATACTGACTGTGGTGGTACCTGCTATGATTACAGCAGTGCATACTGCTGTGGTGGTACCTGCAATGATTACAGCAGTGCATATTGTGGTGGTACCTGCTATGATTACAGCAGTGCATACAGACTGTGGTGGTACCTGCTATGATTATAGCAGTGCATATTGTGGTGGTACCTGCTATGATAACAGCAGTGCATACTGACTGTGATGGTACCTGCTATGATTACAGCAGCGCATATTGTGGTACCTGCTATGATTACAGCAGTTCATACCGACTGTGGTGGTACCTATGATTACAGCAGTGCATACTGACTGTGGTAGAACCTGCTATGATTATAGCAGTGCATATTGTGGTGGTACCTGCTATGATTACAGCAGTTCATACCGAGTGTGGTGGTACCTATGATTACAGCAGTGCATACTGCTGCGGTGGTACCTGCTATTACAGCAGTGCATACGACTGTGGTGGTACCTGAAATGACTACAGCAGTGCACACTGACTGTGGTGGGACCTGCTTTAACTATAGCAGTGCATACCGACTGTGATGGTTCCTGATATGACTACAGCAGTGCATACTGACTGTGGTGGATCCTGCTATGATTACAGCAGCGCATATTGTGGTGGTACCTGCTATGATTACAGCAGTTCATACCGACTGTGGTGGTACCTATGATTACAGCAGTGCATACAGACTGTGGTGGTACCTGCTATGATTACAGCAGTGCATACTGCTGTGGTGGTACCTGCTATGATTACAGCAGTGCATACTGCTGTGGTGGTACCTGCTATGATTACAGCAGTGCATGTTGTGGTGGTACCTGCTATGATAGCAGTGCATACTGACTGTGATGGTACCTGCTATGATTACAGTAGCGCATACTGACTGTGGTGGTACCTGCTATGATAACAGCAGTGCATAAGGACTGTGGTGGTACCTGCTATCACTACAGCAGTGCATACTGTGGTGGTACCTGCTATCACGACGGCCGTGCATACTGACTCTGGTGGTAACTGCTATCACAACAGCAGTGCACACTGACTCTGGTGGTACCTGCTATGATTACAGCAGTGCATACTGCTGTGGTGGTACCTGCAATGATTACAGCAGTGCATATTGTGGTACCTGCCATGATTACAGCAGTGCATACAGACTGTGGTGGTACCTGCTATGATTATAGCAGTGCATATTGTGGTGGTACCTGCCATGATTACAGCAGTGCATACTGCTGTGGTGGTACCTGCTATGATTATAGCAGTGCATATTGTGGTGGTACCTGCTATGATAACAGCAGTGCATGTTGTGGTGGTACCTGCTATGATAGGAGTGCATACTGATTGTGGTAGTACCTGCTATGATTACAGCAGTGCATGTTGTGGTGGTACCTGCTATTATAGCAGTGCATACTGACTGTGATGGTACCTGCTATGATTACAGCAGCGCATACTGACTGTGGTGGTACCTGCTATGATAACAGCAATGCATAAGGACTGTGGTGGTACCTGCTATCACTACAGCAGTGCATACTGTGGTGGTACCTGCTATCACGACAGCCGTGTATACTGACTCTGGTGGTAACTGCTATCACAACAACAGTGTATACCGACTGTAGGGGTACCTGCTGATTACAGCATTGCATACTGACTGTGGTGGTTCCTGCTATGATTACAGCAGTGCATACTGCTGTGGTGGTACCTGCTATGATTACAGCAGTGCATATTGCTGTGGTGGTACCTGCTATGATAACAACAGTGTATACTGCTGTGGTGGTTCCTGCTATGATTACAGCAGTGCATACTGCTGTTGTGGGACCTGCTATGATTACAGCAGTGCATACTGCTGTGGTGGTACCTGCTATGATTACAGCAGTGCATACTGCTGTGGTGGTACCTGCTATGATTACAACAGTGTATACTGCTGTGGTGGTTCCTGCTATGATTACAGCAGTACATATTGCTGTTGTGGGACCTGCTATGATTACAGCAGTGCATACTGACTGTGGTACCTGCTATGACAGCAGTGCATACTGACTGTGGTGATACCTGCTATGATTACAGCAGTCACTCACACATCATACACTGACTCACTCATCATACACTGAGTCACTCACACATCATTCACTCATCATACGCTGACTCACTCATCATACGCTGACTCACACAGCCACTGACCCATTCTCTCATCATACACTCACTCAACACTACCACTGACTCACTC